CCCGGCACTGAGGGTGTGGCCAAACGGAGAGGAGGGGTTGAAACTGAGGGACCGGGCCCACGCTGTGGGGCGCGGCCCACATGTTGGGAGCGGGCCTTACTCACAGGGGTGTGGCCCAAGCAGCAAGGGGCGTGGCTCAAGCCGCGGAGGCGTGGCCCAAGTGGTGGGAGTGTAGCTCACGCCGTGGGGGCGTGGCCAAACACAAGGAGTGGTTCAAACCGCAGGGGCGTGGCCTGGAACGTTAGCGGCCTGGGGGCGTGGTCCAAGTGGCAGGGGCGTGGCTCTGGCGTGAAGGGGCGTGGCTCGGGCCACAGCAAGCCAACTAGCAAGCACGAGGCCCCGGGTTCAAACCCTCATACCGGCCAAAAGCAGGAAGCAGGCTGCAGTCCTGTTTGTGGGTCCGCTGCCGGAGGGGAGGAGCCCCCCCTCCAGGATTCCTGATCGCTGTGTTCAAATCCAGCCAGGGCTTTGGAGAGGGTGAAGCCAGCGCTTCCCTTCCCACAACCCCCCCCCAGCCTGGATGGAGGCCCTGGACCCACACCACCCATGCATGGCGGGGGTTCCTTCTCGAAATATCCATGCCAGGACCCTGGCTCCACCGCTTCGTCTGGGGGGAGGTCCTCAGCGGGGAGCCCAGGGGTGCCAAGGGGACGGGGGCGGGGGAGGGAGTCCTGGAGGGCTTGCAGGGCTGAGGTCGGGGGGAGGGAGTCCTGGAGGGCTTGCAGGGCTGAGGTCGGGGGGAGGGGTCCTGGAGGGCTTGCAGGGCTGAGGTCGGGGGGAGGGGGTCCTGGAGGGCTTGCAGGGCTGAGTCGGGGGGAGGGGGTCCTGGAGGGCTTGCAGGGCTGAGGTCGGGGGGAGGGGTCCTGGAGGGCTTGCAGGGCTGAGGTCGGGGGGAGGGGTCCTGGAGGGCTTGCAGGGCTGAGGTCGGGGGGAGGGGTCCTGGAGGGCTTGCAGGGCTGAGGTCGGGGGGAGGGGTCCTGGAGGGCTTGCAGGGCTGAGGTCGGGGGGAGGGGGTCCTGGAGGGCTTGCAGGGCTGAGGTCGGGGGAAGGGAGGCCGCTTTGCTCCCCTGCAGGAGGCTGAGGTCATATCCGTGGTCTAACAGGTCCGACCAGAACCTTAAGAATGGCCTGGAGAGGAAGCTGCACCCTCCCTCCCTCCCCCCTCCCCGTCTCTGTCCATTCAGGGCCGGGGGTTGGGGGGGGTCGTGAGGAGACACAGCCAGCAGTGACACAAGCTCCCGATCCTCAAGTCACCAAGTCACCGAGGTAGAACCTTCTGAGAGGTGAGGGACCCGGGCTGCTCGGAGGAGCTGGCTGGACCGGGAACAGGAGTGAGCGGCCTGGAGGGGAGGGGTGGGGGTGGGGAAGGATCCGGGCACCGGGAACCGAGCAGGAAGGGGCCCTGAGAACTCAGGTGTTCCCAGGTGAGGGTGTGCAAAGGCCCTGGGGCCGCGTGGAGCCTGGGCTTTAGAGAAGCCTTGAGAAGGGGTGGAGGGGAAGGAAGAGGCAGGGAGGGGACGAAACGGGTGGTGCAGGGTCCTGTGGGCTTTGACCGCCCCCCAGGTGCGGGCCATGGGGGGCTGTGGGCAGGGGAGGGAGGGACCGGACTCTGTGTCCACGCGCGCCCTCTGGTGGCTGCTGTGGGGAGCACGGGGGTGCGGGGAGCAGAGCTGAGGGGTTTGAATGCATTCAGGTGAAATGGGGGGCTGGACAGAGGAGTGGGGAGATTCTGGAAACCTCCTTCATAGGTGTCTCTCCTCCCTTTCTCTCTTCCTCTCCCCACCTCCCTCCCTCCTCTGCCCTTTTCAAACAGCAGAGGGAGAGGAGGAGCTGGGGGCACCTGTCATCCTAGCTGCTCAGGAGGCTGAGATCTGAGGATTGCAGTTCAAAGCCAGCCGGGGCGGGAAAGTCCATGAGACTCTCATCTCCAATGAACCACTAGAAAACCGGAAGTGGTGCTGTGGCTCAGGCGGTAGAGTGCTCGCCTTGAGCAAAAAAGAGCTTAAGGACAGTGCCCAGGCCCTGAGTTCAAGCCCCAAGATGGAAGGACGGAAGGAAGGAAGGAAGGGAGGGAGGGAGGGAGGGAGGGAGGGAAGGAAGGAAAGGAAGGAAATGATCCTCTACCATCATTAGACCCAAAGATTGAGGTGACCCTTACCTGCTGCCACCAATCACTTTTCCTTCCTGTCCCCTCCCCAGCCCCTCTGCCCTCCAGACTCGGCCCCTGTCTTGGGCGTCTACCCAAATCTGCCCTGAATCCAACCCACTTCTCCCCACCCCCTGTGTGCACCTGGATCGGCTCCGCCTGGACCTCTCCGGCCCCCTACCCCGGCCCGTCTCCCTCTCCCTCACCCTCACCCTGAGTCCAGTCCCTCCCTCCTCTGCCCACAGCCCTCCATGGTTCCCACCTCCCTCAGGGCAAAGCCCAAGTCCTCCCTGCAGCCCCACCAAGGCCCTGCACCATGGCCGCGCCCCTCCCGGCCCCTGCTGCAACCACACAGGCCTCCTGGCTCCTCCAGCTCACCAAGCTCAGGCTGCCCCAGGACCTTTGCACAGGCTCATATTTAGAATGGATTTTTTTTTTTTTAATCTCTCACCCTTGCCACCACGGTGATGATACCAATGATGCATTGATTAGGTTTTTCCTTTCTTCTCTGTCTCCCCCCCCATACACACACACACACACACACACACACACACACACCACCTCCAGAACACAAATCTCACCAGAACAAAGGTCTAAGCAGTAAGTGTTAAATAAATGCTCGCTCACTTCCTGGCTAGCCCTTCCCGGCCACCATGTCTTCACTAACCTCAGTCCATTCCAAAGGGTGTCAGACTCCACCCTGCACAAACACAGCTCCCTGGCACTGAGCCAGGCCTGGAGGAAGCCTTTGGGCCAGAAATCCCCGCCTGGGACCTTTCCCAGAATTCAGGGTGGCCTGGAAGCGTGAGCCAGGCAAGCCAGGGCCCGTGCAGGCGTCCAGCGGGGCAAAGGCAGCGTCCAGGCCTCTGTGCTTCTGTATTGAGGGCTTGAGCTGCCTGGCATTGCTGTGCAGCTCCAGGTCAGTGGCCGGCCCTCTCTGAGCTGGGGTTGGTCCGGTACCAGGTCAGGAATCAGATGGAGCAGTCAGACCTGCTTGGCATTTTTCACTCTGATTTGAGGACAGGCAGCTTACCCCTCCCCCCATGCCAGCATGACGCCACATCTGTGATGCTGTCCCTGTTCTGCGTGGCCCTACCGTGTGGTCATTTCTGACCCCTTGTACAAAAAAGAAAACAGGCCACCCGGCACTGGTGGCTCCTGCCTGTCATCCCAGGTACTCAGGAGGCTGAGATCTGAGGATTGTGGTTCAAAGCCAGCCTGGGCAGGAAAGGCCATGAGACTCTTATCTCCAATAAACCACCAGAAAACCGGAAGTGGCACTGTGGTTCCAGTGACAGAATGCTAGCCTTGAGTGACAACAGCTAAGGGACAGCACCCAAACTGAGTTCAAACCCCAGGACACACACACACACACACACACACACACACACGCACGCACGCACGCACGCACGCACACACACACACACACACACTCACACACACACACACACACACACTCACACACACACACACTCACACACACACACACGCACACTCACACACACACACACACACGCACACTCACACACACACACACACACTCACACACACACTCACACACACACACACACTCACACACACACACACTCACACACACACACACACACTCACACACACACACACACACTCACACACACGCACACACACACACACACACACTCACACACACACACACACACACACACACATCCTGGCTCCTCAGGAGGCTGAGATCTGAGGATCATGGCTCAAAGTCAGCCTGGACAGGAAAGTCCAAGAGACTTCTACCTCCATGTTATCCATCAAAAAGCCAGAAGTGGAGACATGGCTCAAGTGGTAGAGCACCTGTCTTGGGCAGAACAGCTCAGAGACAGCCTTGAGTTCAAATCCCAGGACTGGCATGAAAAAAGAAAAAAAAGGTAGGAAGGAAGAAAGAAGGAAAGAAAGGAAGACAAAGAAGGAAGGGAGGAAGGAAGGAAGGAAGGAAGGAAGAGAAGAGGAAAAAAGAAAATCAAAACACACCGGTGGAAAGGAAGGGATGACACCATCCAAAACAACAAACGTCCTCATCCCCTGGCTTTCGCAATGGTCACCCCTCTTTGCTACACGTGGATAATAGCAACAAAATTAGATATTAAACAAAAAACACACACAGCGGGCGGAGCTGGGCGCCTCCTGCCCCAGCCCCAGCCCGGCCCCCGCGGTAACCCAAGTGCCCGCCGGGCCCCGGGGGACCTGGACAAAAGAGCCGGAGCTGCCACCTGACCCCGCTCTCCGGGGACCTCCCCTCCTTCCTCTCCTGTGCCAATCAGTGACCCAGAAAATCTTGTCACCCCAAAGCTGTGACACTGTGCCCCCTCTGCCGGCCCAGCCTGCATTTCTCACTTTAGGGGAGCAACGTTCACCGCCCCCCAAACTCGAGGTCCACAACAAGGAAGAGGTGGGGTAGGCCATCAGCCAGAAACTTGGGGGAACCACCCCCAACTCCATTCCATAGACCCAAGTGAGTGCCTGCCCGGCTCACCTGCTGGGTGGCTGTTGTAGGAGCTTCCGGCGGGGGCTTACTCTTTCTACTTTGGGGGGGGCATCAGAGACCCACCTGCTCCCCACCCCGTCACCCCCACCCCCCACCACCTATACCAACAATGATGGCTTCAAGGCTGGGGGGCTCCCATGTTCCGGGCAAGTGGCCAAGGCAGAAACGAGAACCAGTAATCCCAAGAAACTATGCCAGATGCCCATGCCCCAGCGGGGTGCCAGCTTCCGCTCACTGGGGCACCACACAGATAAAAGTGGGTTCCCCAGTAGCCCCCCCAGAAGGCCAGGCCCGGTTCCCTGGGAGGTGGGCAGAGCAGGTTTGGGTGGGGGTACTTACCTCTCCTATGAACAGGATGGACTGTAACACCACGCAGCCCCCGTGGGTGCCCGGCCCGGGGTGCCCGGCTGGCACGGGCGGGGAGGGGACCCCGGCTCGCAGCTCTGGCCTGGTGGCCTGTGCACCCCGCGTCTCCTCCCTGGGCGAACGACAGCACGGGAGGGTAGGGCCTGTGTCAGGTGCAGCCAGTAGGAAACCTGGGCAGGCAGCCGGGTAAGGGCGAGGCTGTGTGTGTGTGCGCGTGTGTGTGTGTGTGTGTGTGTGTGTGTGTGTGTGTGTGTGTTGCAAGGCCAGGCAAACTCATGTGGTAACCGTTGGCCTTAACCCCTGCATGCCCAGACACCGGGACTACTGGGTTCCTCTCTGTGCCTGTGCCCTGGACCAGCCAAGGGGAGCACAGAGGAGGTGTTCAGGAAACACTGGGGTGGGAAGAGGTGAAGGAATGAGCAGTTTGGCCCCTCCCTCCTCCCTGGTTCCCCTACTGTCCTCCTGGAGTCTGCAGCCACAGGGCCTTTGCACCTGCCGTGTGGTTCCCCCAAAGCACACTGGGAAACCCAGCCAACAGATTAGTCAGCACACCGGCTGCCCCTTCCCATCCGGCACATTTGCAGGGATTTTTTTTTTTTTTTTTTTAGTTCTTTGCACAAGTTAGTGAGACTCCCTCCCCCCCCCACCCCCAATCTCAATCCCCAAGCCAGTGTCGGTGTGTGACCATCATCCACCTACACAGGAGGCAGAGAAAGGAGGAGCTTGGTCTCCAGCAGCGGAAAGACAGATTCTATCTGTCACAATGGCTAACACAAAACAACAACACAATGGGGGGGCTGGGCCTGTGGCTCAGTGGTAGAGCGCTTGCCTAGCGTGCATGAAGCCCTGGGTTCGATTCCTCAGCACCACATACACAGAAAAGGCCGGAATGGTGCTGTGGCTCTAGTGGTAGAGCAATAGACGAGCAAAAAAGAAGCTCAGACCTTGAGTTCAAGCCCCAGGATGGGCAAAAACAAGTAGGGAGGCATGGCTCAAGTGGTAGAGCACATCTGCCAAGCAAGTATGAGCCCCTGCATTCAAACTCCAACACTGCTTTAAAATGATGGATGGAAGGAAGGAAGGAAGGGAGGAAGGATGGATGGGAGACCCGCCAAAACCAATGGTCTGGCCCTTCTTGTTATACCAGCCATAGCCACGAGGGGGCACCAGAAACCAGGCAGCCTTTGACCGACTCTTTCCCAGGCTACCAAAGGAGGGGGGGAGGGGGGTTGTGGCTTGGAAATGGAGGGAGGGCCCACTCCACCCGGACCCTGTGCCCATCCCCGGTTCCCTGACTGATCTCTCCACTCCAGCGTCCCACTCTTTGTTTGGTAAGTTTCTTTCAGTTTGTTTTGCATTGTATGATTCATTGGTGGGGTTGAAGTGGAGCCCAGGGTCCTCGCGCAGGCTGGGCAAACACCGCCCAGCCACTTTTGCCATTGAATTTTTATGTTTATGTATGTATTTTTTGGTGAGGGCCCTGGGATTTGAACTCAGAGCCTCGGCTCTCTGTCCTACAGGCTGGTGCTTTACCACTTGAGCAACAGCTCCTCTTCCAGCTTTGTGGTGGTTTATTGGATAAGAACCTCAAGGGACATTCCTGCCTAGGCCGGAACTTTGATCCTCAGCTCTGAGCCTCCTGAGTAGCTAGGATTACAGCATGAGCCAGCTAGTTTCTTTTAAATCTATGCATACATAGATTTCACTTGAGTCAGGTGTAAGATAATCAGCCCTTCCTTCTTTCCTTCCTTCCTTCCTTCCTTCCTTCCTTTTTTCCTTCTTCCTTTCTTCCTTGTTTGTCAGTCATGGGGCCTAAACTCTGGGCCTGGGCGCTGTCCCTCAGTTCTTCAGCTCAAGGCGAGCGCTCTACTACTTGAACCACAGCACCACTTCTGGCTTTTTCTGCATATAGGGTGCTGAGGAGTTGAACCCAGGGTCTCATGCATGCAAGGCAAGCACTCTACCACTGAGCCACATTCCCAGTGCATAATCAGCACTGTCTCCCTCTCCCTAGATCCTCCCCTCCCCTTCTCTAATTTCTTTTAACTGATTACTAAATCAGGGCTTCCGGGTCTCTAAGTCATACCTTCGAGGTCACTTGTTGATTTTCCAATTTCAACTTCTGGTTTCCTTTTCCTTTTTTCTTTCAGGTTTTTTTTTTTTTTTTTTTTTTTTTTAATTTGCTTCCTTATTGCTGGGCATTTGTAGCCTGTAATTTTAGCTAATCAAGAAGCTGAGATCTATGAGATTGTGTTTCAAAACCAACCCCAAGCAGAAAACTATGAGACAGCTTACTAATTAACCAGCAAAAGGCAGAGCTGGAGGTGTGTTTCAAGTGTTAGAGCACCAGCCTTGAGCAAAAATACTCAGTGCAAGGACCTGAGCTCAAGCCCCGGTATCAACATAAAAAATAAAAACAGGGCTGGGAAGATGCCTTGCATACATGAGGCCCTGGATTCAATAAGCAGAAAAAAGCCGGAAGTGGAGCTGTGGCTCAAGTGGTAGAGCGCTCACCTTGAGCTGAAGAGCTGAGGGACAGCGCCCAGGCCCAGAGTTTAAGCCCCAAGACTGGCAAAAAATTAATTAAATAATTAAATAAAAACAAAGCCAGGCGCCGATGGCTCACATCTGTAATCCTAGCTACTCAGGAGGTTGAGATTTGAGGATCACGGCTCCAAGCCAGCCTGGGGAAAAAAGGCAGTGAGACTCTGACCTCCAATAAACCACTAGAAAACCAGAAGTGGTGCTGTGGCTCAAGCGGCAGAGCGCTCACTTTGAACTGAAGAGCACAGGGACAGCACCCTGACCCAGAGTTCAAGCCCCACAACTGACTAAATAAATAAGTAAATAAATAAATAAAAGCAAGATCAAGTGTAACGTTTGTGCATTACATATTAACACTTATAAAACACTTTTTTTTTTTTTTTTTTTTTTCAAGGCTAGCTCTCTAGAGCTTGAGCCACAGCGCCACTTCCGGCTTTTTTCTTTTTGCTTATGTGGTGCTGAGGAATTGAACCCAGGGCCTCAGGCATGCAAGGCAAGCGCTCTACCACTGAGCCACCTTCCCAGCCCCATAAAACACTAATTTTAAAGATTCTATATGCTGGTATAACTTATAATTGCATTTAATAAAATGCAGCTGAGGCACATTATATTACATTTTATAAATATTTATTTATTTTGTTGGTCATGGGGCTTGAACTCTGGGCCTGGGCGCTGTCCCTCAGCTCTTCAGCTCAAGGCGAGCACTCTACCACTTGAGCTACAGCGCCACTTCAGATTTTCTGGTGGTTTATTGGAGATAGGAGTCTCACGGTCTCTCCTGCCCGGGCTGGCTTTGAACCGCGATCCTCAGATCTCAGCCTCCTGAGTAGCTAGGATTACAGGCGTGAGCCTGTATTATATTTATATTTATAAATTATATATTATAATAATTATATTTATATTTATAAATATAAATATTTATAAATATTTATATGAGTAACAAATTTCTTCCTTACATATACAAGTGAAATATACAAATATAAACATAATTATTCACTTTTTTTTGTCAGTCACACAGAAAAGAAGACAGGCAAATATTTTTTTTTTGGCCGTGGGGCTTGCACTCAGGGCATGAGCCCTGTCCCTGAGCTCTTTTCCTCAAGGCCAGTACTATCACTTTGAGCCACAGTGCCACTACAGTTTTTGAGTGGTTAATTGGAGATTAAGAGTCTCATGGAAAAGCCGGATACCTGTAGCTCATGCCTATAATCCTAGCTACTCAGGAGGTTGAGATCTGAGGATGGCAGTTCGAAGCCAGCCCAGGCAGGAAAGTCTGTGAGACGCTTATGTCCAATAAATTACTCAGAAAAAGCTGGAAATGGTGCTGTGGCTCAAGGTGGTAAAGTGCTAGCCTTGAGCACAAAGAGGCTCAGGGATAGCACCCAGGCCCTGAGTTCAAGCCCCAGGAGTGGCAGAGAAAAGAAAGTCTCAGTGGACTTTCTGCCTGGGCTGGCTTTGAACCATGATCCTCAGATCTCAGCCTTCTGAGTAGCTAGGATTACAGGCAAAAGCCACTGATGCCCGGTTTAAGTTATTCACTTATTCACAGATCATGTTTTCATTAAATAATATAAAGGTAGTTACATATGTGGCCTAATTCAATTATGTGTGAATATAATATACAATTAATGTTTGTATATTTTATTTTATGTTCATATTTATTATGTTTATGCTACATATTTCTCATATTTAATTAAATATGTAAAATTAAAATATATGCATATAAAATTATTTTTCATTAATGAGTCTAATGTAAAAATATAAACATTTCCATATGTTCCTATCACATTAATGTCATTTATATAGCTATAAACATGCAACTATCAGAATTATATGGTAGAAATACATAATTTATGCAATAGGAATGTCATGTAACGTATGCAATATTAATGTTATGTAATAAAAGTGATTTCTTTCATAGAAACACAGGTTCTTGTTAGCAGTGAAACATATTAATAATCACAATAAAATAAGAAAAAGTAATGCAACCTCTGTGTTTATAGTCTGCGATGCAAATACCAGAGCGGGCGTGATTTGTAGCATAAAATACAGGTTGTTTGGGGTAACAATGTTACTAATGGCACCATTTAATTTCAGCAACACCGTGCCGTTCTTCCACCACTGGGCGCGCGGGGGCGCTCGCTGCATCCGAGCGTGACTACACCCTAGCCCCGCCCTCAACGCCTCCTATTGGCTGCTCCGTGCGTGTCGTTTCCCGGCCCCGCCCTTGCCCCGCCCCCGCGCGCCCGCGCCCCCCTCTCCCTCCACCCTGGGCCGGCGGCGCTTGTTGTTCAGCGGCGGCGGCCGAGCTCGGGTGCAGCCTCGGGCCCGCCGCCGCCGGTGCGCGCGGCCATGGAGCTGGAGGTTCCGGACGAGGCAGAGAGCGCCGAGGCTGGAGCCGTGACGGCGGAGGCGGCCTGGGCGGCGGAGAGCGGAGCGGCCGCAGGTAACGGTACGGCCCTGAGGCGCCCCCCCGCGTCCGAATGGACCTGGCTGCCCCCCCCCCCGGCCGTGCAGTGGGCCCGCCCGGGCGCCGCGCAGACCCGCGGCGGGCGGCTGGAGCATTCCACTCGGGGAGGCGCGCGGGGGGCGCCGGGGCGATCCACGTTGGGCCCGGGAGGTGCGGCCCGCCGGCCGGGGAGGCTGCCATGCCATGCCCCGCCCGGGGCGGGGGGCTCGCGGCAGAGTCTTGGGGGGGCGGTGCGGAGATGGGGGGGGCACGGCCGGCCGGAGCGGGTGCAGGGCTTCGTCTTGGTAATCCGTACGAGGAGCTGGTCCCCTCTGGGGGCTCGTGTCTGGGGAAGGGGGTATCCTATGTTTGAGAAGCGGGGGGGCCCCGTGATCTGCAGCCTGCCCAGCGTCGTGGGGAGCGCGTCCAGCCCCCCTTTGGGCTGCGGGTGTGGAGTGAGGGAGGGGTACCCCCATTCTAGCGAGGGGATGCTGTTTACCAAGGTGCTGCATAGCTGGGGTGGGATGGCAGTGCCCCCCCCCCATGCGATCCCCTGCTTGGAGCCTCCCCGCCGGGGTGCCTGTCCAGACTGTCATCTTCTGCCCCTCCTCCCCCCCATCTTGCAGGCGGTCACCCCCACGCAGTAGGTGGAGGTGGGGGGGGTCTATGGTTGGGGTCAGCTCCCCTTGGCTGTGACATCATGGGTGGTGTGCTGATGGGTCCTGGCCTTTCTGGGCCTCAGTTTTCCTCCCGACAGAACCTAAAAAGGGTTAGGGTTTGGAGACGGCCTTCCTGCCTTCGTGGGCCCGGGCTACCAGGTTGGAAAGGAGATGCCCTTGATGCCCAGCCTGTCCCGGGGACTCTATGCTGGCCTGGCAAGAGGGCCACCCTGCCTGTGCCCCCCTTGGGCTTCTCTCCCGGCCTGCTTTTGGAAGGGTGTCGTGCAGAGCCCCAGAGTGGAGCGCTTCCTTCTCCCTTGAGGTCACAAGCTCCCAAATAGGAAGTTTCCTAATTTGCAAAACCCTGGGCTCCCCCCCTGCAGCCGACACTGGCGGGGCGGCCATGTCTCTGTGGACACCACCGCCCTCTCCTTCCTCATCCGTCTGGCCTCCATCTCCACCAGGGATTGCCAGGCTTCCTTGGCAGGTGGGGTGAGGAGATGCCGGGCTGCTGGGGAGCTGGAGGAAGTGTCCAGAGACAGAGGGATGAGGGCAAGGGGCACGTGAACCCCCTGGGCTCCCGGAGCAACTCCCTTCGCTTTTGTCATCCTGAGGCACGTGCTCTAATGACCCTGTTTATTCCCATGAGTCACCACCCTCCTTTGCTGTCACTTGTACCCGGGTCCAGGGCCAGAATGGACCCCAGCAGGGGCAACAAGCCCTGGCCTGAGACCTCTTAGCCTCCAGGCTGGGCTGCTCAGAGACTATGTAGGCCCTAGAATCTCTGGCCACAAGAAAGCCTCAGGGCAAACATTTGTCATCTGATTGGGTGCTGATTGAGGGGCTGGGAGATAGGGAAACCTGACCCCACCCTAGGGTCTTCCGAACCCAGCTCTCCTCAGGGAAGTGCTGGTCTGTGTGTGATTGGCCTGGCCTGGCCCAGGCTCTCACCATTTGGGCCTGGAAAATTTCTTTTCTTTCTTTCTTTCTTTTTCTTTTCTTTTCTTTTTTTTTTTTTTGCCACTCCTAGGCCTTGAACTCAGGGCCTGGCACTGTCCCTGAGCTTCTTTTGCTCAAAGCTAACATTCTACCCCTTGAGCCACAGCACCACTTCTAGCTTTTTCTGTGTATGTGGTACTGAGGAATGGAACCCAGGGCTTCATGCATGCTAGGCAAGCATTCTACCACTGAGCCATATTCCCAGCCCCTGGAAAATTCTTTAAGAGGTGCCCTACCTCCACCTACTCCATCCCAGGATCTCCCTGGTTGTAATGGTCACAGACTATCCCCAGAGCTTTTGTGGGTTTTCTTGTGTGTTGGTCCTGGGGCTTGAACTCAGGATCTGGACACTGTCCCTAAGCTTTTTTTTTTCTGCTCAAGGGTAGTGCTCTACCACTTGAGCCACAGCTCTGTTTCCAGATTTTTGGTGGTTAATTGGAGGTAAGTGTCATAGACTTTCCTATCTGAGCTGGCTTTGAACCGCAATCCTCAGATCTCAGCCTCCTGAGTAGCTAGAATAACCAGCGTGAGTCACTGGTGCCCAGCTTGTCCCCAGATCTTCTCCCAGGATCCCCTACTGACTGGATCACCTTGGGTAAGAACCAGCCAACGACAGTGATCATTTTGTGACTCACTGGCTTTTCATCTAGAATCATCTGGAAGTTTCATCCCACTTTAATTATTTGGATAGATACCCTAGAGACCTGCCTCCTGGTTTGTATTCCATGCCACAGCCTTGCCCGAGCCTCAGTTTCCCCATCTGCAAAGTGGGGCCTTGTCTATTTTGACCTGGGGCTGACACACCCGAGCCTTTGCTTGCATCCTCTTCTTTCTCTCTATCTCTGTCTCTCTCTTTCTTTTTCATTTTTTTGGTGGCCCTGGCATTTGAACTTGCAGTCTGGCACTTGCTAGGCAGGTGCTTTCCCACTGAACTCCACCCCCGGCCCTATGCCTGAGCCTTAAATGCCTTAAATGAGTCAACACTGGCACTTAACAACTGTTAGTTGGCATCTATTTACCGCCTACTGCAGCCCCTGACTTGAAGGAGTCATCATTCCTCCCTCTCCCGAGGCCCAGCCTTGGGTTCTGATTGCTAGAAAGATGCTGGGGGGCAGGGGGTAAGGGGGTTGGTTTCCAGGACCAAGGGTCAAGGGCAATTGAGAGTGAAGAACCACCCCATGCTCCCCTGCCCCGCTCCTTCCAGTAGCCACCAAATTGCCGTCTGCCTCTTGGTGGGGTGGCGTGGCATGGTGGCCCAGATGACACTGCCAGCCCTGATCATATCAGCCCGCATCGGGCGCCCATCTGATAGGAAGCAAATCCGAATTTCCGCTGGCGTTTAGAATCTGGTTACTGCCCGGGCTCCTGGCTCCCCAGGCACCAGCCGGCAGAAAAGGCTGCTGGGCTGGTGATCTCCCTCTGAGACCGGGGTGCCGGGAGCCACGCGGGGTGTGCTGGTTCGCGGAGCAGGCTGGGGACACCCACGGGGCCAGCTGTGTGGGGCTGAGGATCTGCATGGACATTCGGGCCTGACCTGAGCTGTGGTCTGGGGGGGAAGGGGGGTGTCCTAAGCTGGGGTCTGGGGTTTCCTGAGCCATTCCCCCCCCCCCCCCCCCCCCCGCTGTCCTGTCTCGTGAGGCCTCAGAGTCGTGGACTGGTCCTGACACTACACTGCCCACACTCACCACCTCTCATCTGGTGGCAAATTATGTCAGCTTTGCCTTGGAAATCCACCCGACTCTGCCCACGGCTCCCTCCTCTGCCGCCACCTGGTCCGGCCCTACCAGCCGGCATTGCGCCGCTCCGCTCCTTCCAGAAGGATCCCGGGGAAAAACTGGCTCAGGTCCCTCCTTCCTCTGCCTCCAGCCATGCAGACGACTCCCACCTCCCTCAGGGTCAGAGCGCGCCCCATCCCTCCCTGCCTCTGTTTCCCTCTCTGCTGCACTCCTCTGTGCTCCTTGGACACTCCAGGCCTGGCCCCAGCTAGAACATCCCAAGCCCAGGCAGCCGGGCCAAGGCTGGCATGGAGGAGGAGGCCTGTGCAGAGGAGTGGGGTGCCAGGGAGCCATGCCGGGAGGTGACATTGGGGAGACCCATGGGGAGCGGGGGGATGATGGCTGATGGGTGGGGGGAGCAGGGCGAGTCCACAGTCCAGGGTGTAGAAGCTCAGGGATCATGACCCCAAAGCCCAGGCCAAGGTTTTGTAATGAGGAGGCAGAAAACTCCCTGTTGGGCCCCACCCAGCCACTTCCTGGTGACCATGAGGTGGGGCCTGGGACCCTGGGCTGGGCCTCTGCACTCCTCTGGAGGATGGCCCGACCCTGACCCCTTCTGGTGGCCTGGCAGGGAAACGTGGGTACCTGCTTAGTCTTTGACAGTGCTGTGTGCATTAACACAAGCTATGGCCCCAGGACTAAGGTGGACATTGGGGACCTCCCTCTGTGACCCCTCCCCCACTGGTAAGGCAGCCACAGTACAGACAGACTGGCCTGTCTTTATCCCCAATCATGTCCATGCCAGTGTTAGCCAATAAAGTTTTATCGGCACCCAGTCCTGCCCCCAATCTTGGTGTCCTCCTCAGTAAACCATAGAGCCAAGTGGTGGGCAATGAGGCCGCAGCCCCCACGCCAGAGGACTCCTCCTCCCCAGCCCCTTGCGTGACGTGCTGGGTGGCTGTCAGCGCAGAGATGGGAAAGAAACAGGTCATCATGCTGACAGCAGCTGACCAAGATAGCCCAAGGCAGGAGGTGATCATCAAGCCAAACGTGCCTGGGAAGGAGCCGCTGCAGTCTGAGAGTCCCAGGCAGAGGGGAATGGCCGTGCAAAGACCCTGGGGTAGAAATGAACTTGGGTCGTGGTGGGTGCCGTCGCTGTAGCTTCAGTGGGTGAGTGGGGGAAGGGGTCAGTGAGGCCCCCTGGGATACTGTCTGACCTGCTCCCTTACAAATGGGGAAACTGAGGCTTGGGAGGCCTGGAGGGGCTGCACAGATCAGGTCATCGCTTCCCCACACCCAGCCAGCCTGAGACCCCGCTGAGGATTTGCGGGCTGCATGCCAGCTGGACGGAGGCCTGAGGCGCTGGACAGACGCCTGGGGGATTACAGAGCTCAAGATTAGGCCGAGCCCCCCACACCCACCTCACCCACCTCACCCACCTCACCACAGCCGCGCCAGCACTGGGCCCGAGCCTGAGCGCCCCAGGGCCTGTGCCGGGGCCGGACTTGGAGTCCTAGCACCCAGCGTTGGTGACCACACCTGCCACACCCACACTCAGGAGGCTGAGGCCAGAGGATCACAAGTTCCAGGCCAGCCTAGGAAGACCCTGGTGGCTCAGACCAGC